GGAATTCTGGGAGTTGAAGTCCACCCATCTTAAAGTTAATAAGGTTGAGAAACCCTGTACTAGTGTTTTATGTTGTACTATTTAATTCAAACCCTCCCAGTGTGCCAAGACCAAACTCTCCGTCTCAGCCTTCCCCAAGTTGGCTCCCTTGAAATGTGCGAACGTCACTTCCTAGAACATTCCAGACAGACTGACCACGGTTGAGACCTTGGGACCCACCTGACTTCCCGTCGGGATCTGTCACAGAGCCACCCCACGACCATCGCTTCTGCCGCGTTTCCAGACGCTGGCTGCGTTCCAACGTTCGATGTACCACGGCTTCATAATGCTCCTATAGATCAAATCATCACTGGAATTAGGGCATGAGAATGATTACTGCCCGTGGAAAAGCAGAAAATTATTCCTCTGGGAGCTGATTATTAACCAAAGGTCTGCTTTTACTTTAGGTCACCAGTAAGAATTCAAAAGACAACCTGAAGACTGATTAGCCATAATCTTGCTGATAAACAGCATTTGCTCTAACGTGCACATATTCAGCTATCATCTGGCAGGAGGCCTGATGGATGAGCAAATCAATTCCTGCTGTTTGTACAATTTCTCGCACTAGTACCACACAATGGTTCCTTATGTTAGTTTATTCTCCTCAGCCTGGGAAGATTATTACTGGCGGGTGCACTGGGGGGGGGGGATTTCACTTCAAAATGCAGGAATACCCAGAATTACTAATGATTCAGAATGGTTTCTATTTGAAGGAATGCTAAAATCCAAGATTCTCACAGAAAGTCTGAACTAGTTGGGAAAAGAACTGGCTAATTCAACCACAAATCAGATGGATTTCCTCTTTACAGTACCCTTCTGCACTGACTGGAATGTGACAACCAATTCACGGAGAAATTTTCAACCATCAGGTTTTAGGAAATTCCACTGATTGGCACAGGAAAGAAAATAAGGTGTGCAACCCCATTGCAAGCAGACTATAACAGGCAGGAAGTGTCTAAATGGCTGGCACGTGGCTGCCTCTTTCATCCGCTTATAGATCTTCCCTACACCAGACAAATGAGCTCACACCACTGTATTTTTATGACTCTGCTTATTATTCTCACCAAGAGGCTGTCATGTCAGTGGAAACTTTTAGTCACCTAATACGACCAGGAACTACAGGCTGCCTAATATTGCCTATCACCAAACACTTTTGTTCAAGGACTAAGCTATCAATTAGAATTCAGTGAACTTCTTCACAAACAAATGCCCTAGAAGTGGGGATGGTTCAATTAAAAATGTGGGGAGACTTCTGGATGTTTACTTGGAAGCTGCACAAACATTGCGATTAGTAGAATAAGGGAAACTTATATAAATGCAGAATGTACCGGGGAGACACTGAGAATAACTACAGTGAAGTGACAAACTTAAGGAAAGAAGAGCTGCAAAACTTCAATTAGGAAGCTGTCTCAAGCAGGATTAATAAGATGGGCACTGCAGAATATAAAGTCTGCATGCTGAAACAGCCACATTGAACTGAACAGTCCCAGCCAGAGCGAAAAGCTAGCTAATAAGAACGCCAATAAAGCAAAGCTTCGTACCCCATCTTCTCACAATCTTTCAAATAAAAATGCATCAACCACAGTCAAACTGTTTGTGGTCGGACATTTATAGAGCCATCTAACCAGCGTCACTGCCAGATATTCTTACTACTAGCATTCAACAGGCTGTAGTGTGAAGGGGTTGGGAGAAGGACTGGGAAGAACTAGGTCCAGATTCACCCTCAGCTATGGAAGGTCTCTGAGCGACTTTGGGCCGGTCCCTTTCAACCCAGCCGACCTCACAGGGCTGCTTTTGGGGAGAAAAATGCAGGAGGCAGTGCTTCAGAACTGGCCAAGTTCTGGAGGGCAGGGCAGGGGGTAGAGAGAAAGAGAGAGATTCGACTATGACGAAAAGAGGAATTGCAGATATAAAATGTTTGCATCCAATTTTATCTGAGGTGTCAGTTCTTACTGGCCTCAGCTAAAAGCTCAACCCCCGTGTTAACTCATCTCTTAGTCACAGCAACATTAAGTCGCACTGTACTTTTTCCTCTTCAATCTTCTGTTTTCTTTTCTGTTCCACAGCAGCTCTTCTCTGTTGCTCTTTCAGCTTCTGCTCCCTCAGCTTCTTCTGCTTCTCCTCCAGTTGCTTTTCATATTGCAGCTTTGCTTTTTTCTCCTTCTCCAGTAACTGCGTTTCTTTGGCAGCTGTAAGTTTCACCAGAAGTACAGAAACGTGAAACGCTACAGAGACCGGAAGAGGGAAATGTATTACGCTGGCAAACGCAAAAACAACCCCCCCCCGAGTTTTACAGAAATCCGAGAGAGGGAGAGAGAGACACTGATCAGATGTTGTATGCTCAATCAGCTCCAACAGGAGCAGAAGCCTTGCCAGAATCCACCTTATCTGCTTGAGGTCAAGGAAAAACAGAGAAAGAGGAAGAATCAAGTGTCTTGTTTTACACCAATGATGCACTTTTTACTACAATCCAAAACCAAAAGTCAGTGCTCAGGTCTCATTAGATGATCAAATCCCAAGGAGAAGATGAAGCCAACCCAATGCCCCAGAGGTTCTGCAGAGTTATTTTTCTCATGGCCCTCTTTGCAGGGGAATAGAAGGAAACTCGGCTTTTCTGCATGGAATGGAGTAATGCAGAACTGAAGAAGCAGGAACTCAAACCGTCTGGATCTATTCTCATAAGCCAGTTCTCCTTGAGGGAAGGTGACGAAGTCATGGTATGGAATATTCTGGCCTCCCACAGCCCAAGCTTTTGTTATCCTCCATTAACCCAGGGTTTCTCAACCTCAGCGACCTTAAGTTGTATGGACTTCAATTCCCACGATTCCCCAGCCAGCAAGAGGTTGAGAAACCCTGCATTAACCTATAAGTATCACAGAGGCCTGCTTGTCTTCTTGGCCTTTAGACAAAGAATTAACCATCATGGCCTGTGACATTAGTTGCTGCATGCTAGGGATCAAGATCTGCCTCTGACAAAACAGAAATGGGTGTTTATTTCTATCTCAGCTGAGTCAACCTGGAATCTTCCAGAAGGGGTGGGGCTGCCTTTTCCAAAATTCTCCGCTAACGTGGCCAGAGGCAGTTCTAGGAGTTGCAGTCCCAACATCCCTGATGGGAAACTACACTCGCTCACAAAGGGTTACCTGGTGCCATCTGAGTTGCCCCATCCCTCCTGCTTACCCTCCAGCTAGGATCAAGGAGGGGAGGAGAAAATATATTTCAACAGGGTTAAAAAGGGTTCTTTGGATCACTTGTAGGAACCTATTTTTTTTTTTTTTTTCCTTAGGCACACAAATTCTGTGTAAAATTCAGTCAAAAATCTCCCTCTGGAATCGGAAAAAAGAAATTCGTTGCTGAGATCTGGAACTTGGCAACCCTGGAAGTATGCTCTGCACATGACTGGAAACCCTACCATGTGATCAGTCAAAGCTCCACTTAGCCCCAGTCTGGAGTGTCAGCCTTTGAGGAGACAATTCCTCTGTGTTTTGATAGTTCTTCTTTGCAACAGGAGCAATCACCAATGTGCTGTTGAAAAGCAAAGCCTCAACCTTGCACTACTGTCTTCTTGATCTTGCAACGGGGGATTAAACTGTGATTCCCAGCCCAAGAGGACCTACAGTAATTTGCAACCCCCCAGCCCCCAACCAATGTCTAGATCAGAATAAAACTATTTTTGGGGTTTGGTATTTCGTGCTGCTCTGATTCTTAACTCAAGGCATTAAAATGTTTGAAAATATAAATTATAGGATATAATACATTTAGCAATGTATAATTTGGATTAAATGCACGTCAGAAACACACATTTTGGCAAATACACTGAACATTTAAAACTGTATCTGCATATCCCCATGTATGCAAATATTTAACAAACCCTACCTATGCAGGTGGAAACCGGAATACAAAGGCATGTGAATTGAAATAGGTCATAAAAAGCTTACCCCTCCCACCAGCTGCTGCAGTCATATACATCCATGCAACGGAACATAAAAAAACTTTGTATGCACAAGCTTTATTAACTGGGACCATACCATGCTGCCTCTCTCGCTCTTCTCTACGTTCCTTGGCAAGCCTCTGCCTTTCTTCTGACTTCAAGAGAGAACCATCTATCACTGTAAAAGACAGAAAATTCAAATGCTTTGCCCACTGGACAGTTTTAGAGAAACAAGGGACCAATTCCAGCAAAGCATGCACGTTTACATCCATGCACACGTATACCACATTCATGTGCAAGGGTACATATTGGTGCTTAACATGAATGGCTCTGCCAATGTATTTTCTAACCCACTGCAGGAAATCTTAATTCACTTTTTTTCTTACATTATACATCACTATTAAGAGGACACACACTGGGATAGCTGTTTCCCAGGTTACAGGAGGATACTAGCCACTTTCATTCATCTAATTTTGAAAGATTCTTTGAAAGTAAGAATGGGAATTAAAACTTCTGAGTAAATATGAACTGAACCCAAAGAACTGCTATCCAGATCAAAATATAGAATAGTTGTACTAAAAGCATGGATTTTACCTGGTTTTGATTTTGTGCTTATTGGAGACTGGAGTGAAACAGTGCTAACACTGCCTTGGTTCCTTCTTTCTTCTGCTAATGCTTGTGCTGCAGCAACTGTTAAGAAAAATACCAGACCTTGTTGAAACAAATCCATAATTCACGCAACAGTTGGGTGCTTCAGAGACTTGCTTGGATTACACTATTCAAATCTGCTTTTTGTACAGGAAAATCTCCCCAAATCCAGAGTTTATATCTCTAAAAGTCCTTCTCTGGAAGATCATGCTCCTTACCCTTTGATGGTCTGAAGGTCATTTTATATAGTTGGGTCCATGGTAATCTGGGTTAGAGCAGGGATTAGCACAGAGTTTTGAATTTTATTCTGATATAAGGAAAATGATGGGTATTAAATGATGGGTCCGTGTAGCCCCACATCTACCAATCAGCTAGTTTTCATAGCTGGCATGAGCCAAAACACAGAAAGTCACCATCCACCATTCCATCTGAAGGCGCTGTACCTGCTCAGGAATCGAGGTGTCAAAACAAGGCAAAGTCTGAAAACCTGTAAGTTTGGTGACTCAAAATACCTTGCTTTTTTGTCTTTTTCATCAACTGACATGGTTCAACCCTCATTCCCAGCCATTAAACCACAATCATCCATATCTTTTCTAATTGACCCAACAATGAAGGTGAGAAGAGAGAGCAGTGAGGAGACAGTCCTTATACTCTGTTCCACCTCTTCTGTTTTGACCCTGGAGGATATGTCAACTCACGCCCCCATCTTCGCGTTCTGAACACAGGCTGTAACTTATACCCATTCAAAATTTCTTCCATACGCATTTTTAAAAAAGAAGAGATTATGCTTTTCCACCCTTTAATGTATCCTGAATTTTCAGATAAATCTATTGATGTAGGGCAGTCCAGTTAACGGACACCATGCCAAAATAACTACACTGAACTGTTCAGGAAATGGAAAACTAGGAATCTAAAATTTACACTAGTCAACCACAATTAAATTAGATGGCCTCTCATTTCAGAGGAAAAAGTTCTCTTTCCCATCTGATCAAAAGATATAAAGTTTTATAATCAACATGGGGGATTCTGCAAAAGCAACTAGGTTCCTTACCCCTGATTATAGCTTTCTCTCTGAGCATGGAAAAATGAAAGGATGGAAAGAAAGAAAACTGTTTCACCTCTCCATGACAACCTGATCTGCATGGCAATTATCCTCCTAAGACTGCATCTGAGAACAATAATCTCAAAATGCTCAGTCCCAAATGAAATACAGGTAGTCCTCACTTAACAATAGGGATTGGAAAATTTGTTAAGTGGGGCAATTAAGTGAGTTGTGCCTGATTTTACGACCTTTTTTGCAGTGGTTGTTAAGCAAATCATGCGGTTCCCCACTGATTTTGCTAGCTGGAAGCCGGCTGGGAAAGTCACAAATGGCGATCACATGACCTCGGGACGCTGCAACCGTCATAAGTGCGAGCTGGTTGCCAAATGCCCGGATCGCGATCATGTGACCAAGGGGGTGCTGCGATGGTTGCAAGTGCGAGGACCGGTTGTAAGTCCCTTTGTTCAGCACCACTGTAATTTCAAACAGTCACTAAATGAATGACTGTTAAGTGAAGACTGCCTGTAATTGACAATGGCCACTAAGTCCAGTGTCTCTGAACAGTGGACACTAATTTAATTTGAAAGAATAGTGTTGCTATTCTTTCAAATTAAATCTCTGCTGCAGCTCTTGACTAAAAGTTTAGGACAATCATATAAAAATACAGCATCATGGCTTCTTTTAAACAGTAGTTCTGGAATTACTGAATATACCGCAACATATATTGACTACATATGCACACCCACCCATGCTCTTTTTTCGTTACTGTGTCACCAGGAAGAAAGGCATATAGTTCTTTTTGGGAATCTGCCATGAATTCCACATTTGTGTTGTATTATTCACACAAACCATTCAGGACTAAAAGCCTTGTGTGGGCAACTGTGCTGTGGACTACACAGATAAGTAAAAAACTATGAAGTTATGAAGAGCAATGAACTCGGTTCAAGGTCCATCTGTTTCAGGTTCATATTAGAGAGGCAAGCGTTCCATCCTCACTCCCAGTGTATAGTCCCAAATGAGAAACAGCTGCACAACACTGGAAAATTAAACTACAAGTTTCAAACAATTAAACGAGGTTATAGTAATGGGCAAGGGAGATATGCAAGCAGAGTGGAAAAACCCTCTCTGGAATTTTAAGGATCCAGCAACCATTTTATTTGCTACATTACATGAAGTAGATTATCACAGACTGATTGCTCTTTCTCCCAGCTTCTCAAATTTGCCAAGCATCTTGAGAGTTTAAGCGAACTCCCTTCACAGATTTGCCTTTGTCCAGAGGGGGAAATTTGTTAACTTCTGTTAAAACAAAGAGAGGGGAAGTAGAACAGCTAGCACTTTCATACCAAGTTCCTTTGTGGAGGAACAACGGAGCAAAAAATATTCAAAGGTAATCCCAGAGAACCACTATGAGAATATTGCCTGTTTGAAGAGACCATCAAAATGAAAATAAATCTTGTTTGTAAAACTTCCCTACAAGTCTAGAAAGCTATTGCATTATTTTAATTAACTGTATTAGACACAGAGATCTATTAATTAATATAAACTAAACAAAAGATTGTGTGCAGTTCACAATAAAAGACTCTGATAAGAGTCTTGCGAAGTGCACTAACCACTAATGTTCATTCAGCTTTCAGGTATTTTATGCAAAATTTTACAATGCATCAGTATTAAAATGTCAAGTCTCAACTATTTGAACCCTAACAGAGATACACTCAACATGACCTTTGTTTTAATTCACAGCATTAACTCCAATGTTGCCTGAACCTCATCCTTAACTATGCATGTAACCACTACTCTTGTGCAGTCGACTATTGTATGTTGCTGCAACGAATCACCAGCCAGGTTCTGTCTCACAATGGCCATACAATGACATAGCACTGAAGGCATTACCGATTCTTGCCAGGTAAGACACGATCAATTATCTCTTGAGACCTGTGGCACAATGCTGAAGGTGCTAGACTGGGACCAGGGAGATTCATGCTCGACTTCATCTTCAACCATGAAAACTCACTGGGTGATTTGGGGTCAGTCACTCTCAGTCCAACCTACGGTCACAATATTGTTGTAGGAGAAGGGAATGCTATATATACCACTTGGAGCTCCTGAATGAAAGGTAGTACATAAATCTAATAAACAAATGTTCCCATGCTAAATGTACATTTAAGGATAGATGCTTGAGTTATATCAAGAACAAAGAGGTAAGGACATTTTCTAAAAACAAGGATTCTTATTTCTTGTATATATTCCTGAAATACTGTATTTTGTGCCAAGTCTTTCCTGTTTTCATGCTCCTGCCTTCCTTTTCATAATTCTTTTACTTGTTTTACTTCCCTGATCTCAGGATAAGGAAGTGGGTTCCCTTCCTCTCCCCCCACTCATACGAAAACCCACTGAAACCTTTTTCTCTTAAGTGATGTTTGTTCTCGAGTTTCTAGGCACACCATTGTTGAATGCGCCTGGTTCCACTACTCCAACCCAAAAGCTCTGTGACAATAGAGCCCAGCACTGCATATCACAACGGGCCACAGTCAACTCTGAAACCACAATTCCATCTCTTTCTTGAGACTCAATAATGCTTCTATTGTGTAGGATGCATTTTAACCCCTGATCCTCTTATTTCTTGATAAGGCAATTTCCCCTTGTATCTCTGACCAGGCACTACAGTTCATAAGATTTTATGATTGCAGCTTAATCTTTGTACTGTTTCTCCAAGAATTATGATAATATATGGATATCTATACTGAGACATACTTACAGGCCTAGTCTCCTATCTGACCAAGCAGGGGATCCAACACAAAATCTATTAACAATTTAACAGGGGTTGTGTTAATGTATTTATTGAGAAAGATAAAATAATTGTTCTTAGTTAGCTGCATTATGCAACATGCAATTTTCCCCCTTATGCTTGTAAATCATTTTATAGAATCTTCTGCAGTTTGCTTGTTGCTCACAGAATTAAGAAATCTCAGCAATGGAATAAACAATGCATTTGCTCCAATTTCAGGCAGAAACTAGTATTAGAAGAATCAAAAGACTCTACCATACACCAACTCAAGAATATACCATGTATATTACTTTACATTTTCTTAAGCTGATCTGCTCTGCAGCTGCTTGTGGACTGGCTGAGTAGCTGCATGAAAACAAATGAAGAGGTGTTAAATCAATACAGTTCACAAGAGGTGGGTTCATTCTTTCAAGAGATAAGGAAAAGTTAGCATCTGCACTGAGCCCTAAAAAAAAATCAGAGGATTTAAAAGTTTGCCCTCTAAGAGAAAGAACAGACAATAGGCCTCAGTACGGAGTAACATTCTGTCATGGTTGCTTGGGAGTTAATGTTTTTATTATGTTCCTGCACTTGAAATATCACATCTTTGCTCCAGTCCATACAATCTGAGCAAAGTGGAACTCCGTATCTCCTGGTTTGCTAGCACATTCACTAAATTGAACTTATATGTGAATACAAGAGTTAAGAGAAATTCACAATGAAAAGGACTGCAAAACAAAACCTAGATATAAGGTATGACATCTGTGATTGGGTATCATTTTTTTCCATTAAAAGCCACTGGGAGGCCTCACCATTTGGAAGACAGCAATGACCCTGGAGAAATGTTATGCCTCCACCACAGCCCTCTTCTCCTTTTCACCTCACTTTGCTACTATTAATGAAATAAAAAGACACCAGGATAACCAAGCACAAAACTTTTGCATCAGATGCAGTTTTGCTGAAGACTTCATGGAAATAACATCACCCCTCATTTCCCAAAGGAGAAGCAAAGAAATTCACAGGGCATTTTTCCAATTTGTTGTCCGTCGCCAAGTGTTTAAATTCTTGAAAGTGAAGGGCTGGACTTGATTTAAATCTGAAGACAGGAATAAAACCACAATCTAGACAGAGCCATCTGCTCTTAAGACCGAGTCCCCTGTTTGTAAGATGGGAATAAACACAACACCTTAATTCAATTAGGGGTAAAAGCAACTCGAAAGCAGTAGCAGCCTTTCTGTCGCACAATTAACAAGTACTACAATAACATTAATCAACTGATCAGAATGCATCACAGTGGCCTTAATGAATAAGACCAAAGGCCCACCCAGGTTAGCATCTTTCCAAGAGGCCAACGAGGTGCTACAGGATGAGGCTCTCTCCTGCAGCTGTTGCCCAGTAAGCACTTAGGTGGTAATGTATAGGGCTGTGTGCCACTGGATTTGAAGGTGAAAAGATGCTTCAGGACATGAACACCTGTCTGCAGCTCCTTACAGGGGCCACACCTTTCCTGGAAGTGCACAGCTGCCTTCCACAGTGCCCCGTGATTCCTAGAAGACACATTTTGCTTAAAGAACTGCAGACAGGCATTTATACCTCCACGTGTTCTGAAGTACCTTGCCCCCCTCAAATGCCAAGTGCTGCACAATCCTAGTCATTATACTCTTGATGATCAGCAACTATTGACAGATTTATTCTTTCGGCAGCCTCCTGTTAAAGGCACCGAATTTGGTGATTCACACACCTTGGCCATAGCAGAAGCAAAACTTCAAAGTACGGCTCAAAGTTTTCTGATCAAAATATGGCACTCAAGTGATTACGTCTCATGGCTGAAGGGAGATGATACCTCACAGGTTAAAAATACTTGCAAACTAATGTTGAGCCTGATCTGCAGGGAAATCAGTGCAGTAGCAAGAAAAGAAACCCCCACCAATGGATACAGCAAATAGGACTTTTGTTTTAAACAGACGGGAACTAAACTGCAGCACAACGCTGCAGATTTCTAAACAAACCCTGGAAAGCAGATACAACGCAGAGAAGGTGGGGGAGAGGAGGCCATGCGCTTAGCTTATATACTGGCTTTTCTGGCCGCATATATTGGCTTTTCTGGCCACGGCAGAGAAAAATAGCAGGACTTCAGATGCAAACAGATTTCCAGACTATTTTTTAAGCCCTGGATAGATAGAGGTGGGGGTGGTGGGGGCAGCAGCGGAATGATTAGATGCTAGGATTCTAGATCTCCTCTGGATCTAAGAAAATGCAAAAGTTTCTTTTGTCCACAAAACAGAGGCGAAGAGAATGCAGGTAGGGAGGGAGGCCAGGCGGAAGAGGAGGCACTTCGAGGCAACAAAAGGGGAACCTCCAGCATTTTGCTATGGGGGGGATAAGAGAGCGCCGGCAGCTGGATGTTGGGGAAGGAGGAGAGGGGGTGGGGATGGGGGGCGA